TCCAGATAGTGGTTTGGAAAAATTCTGAACCCTCTCAATAGGGCATGTGCATCTCCCTAAGGAGAAAAGAGATAAGCACACTTCAGATATGAATGATGCTCTTCTAAATCTTTTTGAGCTCTTTCTGTCACATCATTTGTCTGCACTGTGTAAAGTAAAGGAATGGCAACGTCCTTCATGAAGTTACATAATAACTTACTGAATTTCTGTTCAAACATTTTGCTGAGAAGTAGATTCTACAAGATCCCCTAAACTTTACTGACATGAGTTAGCACAGAAGGAATTAGCAGCATTCTATGTAGATTGTAGTGGCTCAGTAAGGAACTATTTGGCCTTGATTAAGAGGAGCAATTGAAATATGGTTATTCTAAATACTGATTACAATTACTTCTGCAATTATAGGATACACAGTTCAGAGGCTTTCTACTGGGCTACATACTGGAGAAGCTAGGACTTTATTTTTCTGATGAACCAAACATTGCCCCCTATAGCTTTACTTTAGGCAGGGTAATAATATTTAATGTATACTAGTCATAAGTGTGTTTACTTATAACAACATATTAATATTTTCTATATGATGGGATGGGGAATTCAGATGAAATTTACCCCACAGGGTATGGCCTCCAAAAGGTCCTAAATTACAGTCTTTCTAGTATGTGGGAGAGAGCTTTCAAGAGGAGTGTTTCTGAACACTGCAAACTCATAGTATAGCTGAGCTCTACCACTCTTATGAAGTTCTATATGAAGAGGATTTCGGAAAGTGCAAAGAAAAGGCAGGGATTCTCTCACTACTGTTCACTCAGGTGGGACCACTGAACACAATTAACTACAGAAAGGATATGCAGGAACTGTGATTTCTACTCCAGCATTCAGGCTGATATTGCAGAGAAGAACTTTTGCACTGCCCTATGCCTTGCCTTTGGATTAGGAGTCCCCACAGTATTTCTGACATAATACCCTTGTCTTCCCCACAACATACCTGCCTCTTGACACAAGCCATCAATCTGAACTCAATTGTTCTTGACCTTTCTCTGTCAGGTAGATTAATTCAATCTAATGACTACTTTAATGGAAAATTAAACAAATCAATTTATAATCTGACCCTGTGTAGGTTCCATTTACTCGGGAATAGTAGACACATGAAACAGGTCTTGTGAAGGAACTGAGATGCAGCAAATCCCCTGCCTTTTATGAGTTGTTCATCTCTCCAAACCTGAGATCTCCTTTGGAAAAAGGCATTGTTTTGTTTTCTGTTTTTCTGTCTGCAAAATGCTTAACTTATTGCAGTTTCTACCATAAAAAATATCACAAAAACAGTTACTTTAGGTGTCATTTGTCTTGAGTATACAGATTTTTTATTAATTCACTGTAGACATACCATACGAACATACATGTTTTTCGTTATAATTTTTTTAAATCTATGAAAAAATTCTTAAAAGGGTTTAGTCATTTTCTTGATTAACCTATTTTTAAGTATGGATTCTATAGCAAATACGATTTAATTGGAAAAAGTTTGGTTTCATTTTATAATGTTGTTTTATGAGTAGAGACAAATATGACATCTATCCAATTTCTGAAATTAAAAGACACATGCTTCACCCCTCATAGAAATAAAACTGCTCAGCTTATACAATGGGTTAGAGTGTTTCAGAAAGACACTTAGTTACATTACATTGAGAAACGATGTTATGACTTGTAATTTGAATTAAGGGAGCATGCTGATCCTTTTTAAATGTAACAGGGTCTCTGTCACTGATTTCAGTAAGAGTTAAAAGTAAATTTCTCAATTTACAGTTTCGCACACACATGCACGCACACGCACGCACCGTTATCTACAGAGGAATATAGCTAACCTAGGACTGGGCATTTCTACCAATACAAGGTAGAAAATACAAAGAAATCCCATTATAAAAAAAATAGGTATAACCAGCTCATTAAAGATGCTTTTTTCCTAGTCTCCATAAAGTAAAAGTTGCCTACATCCTCCATCCCCGAAAGGCTTTTGCCCCATCTAAAATAGATCAAATATATGTATCGCATGTAATTGTGTACGTCCTCATTACCCACAGAAATGTACAATCCTTTTCTGAGTCAATTTAGACTCTTGGTTTCACTTACACCCTGCCAAAAGTTCCATGGGCTAATTATGTATTGTGTAAAAGCGTTTTCCTCTTATCAGTTTTAAATGTGTTTTTAATTTCACTGAATGTCCTGGGCTTGTGTTACTAGTCAAGATAAACTCAATTTGCCTGCTCTATATCAACAATTCCATTATTTTGTATACCTCTATTACATTCTTTTTTATCCATCATTTATCTAAAGAAAACGTTCACATGGTCAAAGGTCCAAGTAAGTCCAGCAACCAACTGGACTAGCATGACTGAGGCACATCAGTACACAAGGAAGTGATCAGTGCAGTGATATGTGGCTTTGCCTCTCCTGCCCAAAGGATTCATAGATGTTAGGGCTGGAAGGGACCTTACAAGATCATCAGGTCTAGCCCCCACTGCACTTGAGAAGATCATATTGACAGCTAGGTCACATGGAAGAGGCCTTCAGCACAAATATGGCATAAAGATCTAAGATGTACCTCTGCAATTGTTGCAAGATACCTTAAATACTTTGCCATGACAGCCATAAAGAGCTATCCATAGAGTGCACCTATACGTCGCCCTATGGCAACATAGCAGCTCACTACATTGCCATACCATGTGCTACAGTGAAGGAGCGATCACATATGTCTACACGTGATCGCCAGCTACATCACTGTAGCAGTGCACTCCCCAGGTATAGTGAACCGCTATGGCAATGCAGTGGCAAAATCTACCACACGCACGGCGCAGTAACCACTTGTACTGCTCTGTGCTTAATATTTCCAAAAGGAAGTATGGCACTGTAGCAAGTTGTCATAAGGGGGTGTGTAGATGCACCCATAGTGTATTATCACACAGCTTAATATTGATTTTTTAAAATTGTGTATACTAAAAAGGTTTTAATTCAAAGCCTCTTCCCAAGAACCTCCCAGTTGTTTTTTTCCAAAGTGGTTACAGGTAATCTAGAACCTCATGAGGTATGTAAATGCTCCAAATTGTTTTTTGTAATGTGCATCTGCCAACACAGACTTTTACACTGCCATGTTGCCCATTCACTTGGATTTACTCATAAATCATCCCAGAGTTCTTCAGTAGTCTCTAATCAAAATAGTTCTGTCATCGGCAGTATTTTTTCTTTACTTTTTCCTGTCTTTTCAAGACCATAAATTTATAGAGAAATAATCCTGGCATTTGACCTTAAAACTACCAACTCTTTATTTTTTTCTACATTAAAAACTGAACATTTAGTTTAATTATTTGCTTTCTTGCTTCTTAGTTCGTTTGTTGTTGGGGTTTTTTGGTCTCCAAGCTGGCCTCTAATCTAGGACAGTGCTTTACCTCCCATGCAATGACAGAATAATTTCCTTATTAGCCCCTTAAAAGATGTCAGAGTTTATTTAACTGAAAATCATGATGATGTCAACTGATACTTCTTCATCCACTGTGTGGGCAACCTACTCAATACTAGCACAAAGATAGGTATTAGGCTAAAAATAACTTAGATAGGTCTAAGGGGGGTTTGTTATTTTTAACCACGCCAATTAGTTAATTTTCAAAAGAATGTCAGAATCTTATGAATGCATATATATACATGCACATTATATATGTCTATACTATGTTACATAGGACCAAGACATGTAAACAATGTGATATATAACATGTACACATGCATTATAAATATGCATACACATTTTTGTATTTGTATACTAGTGTGCATATATAATGCATATTTCTATGTAACTCCCCCATACAAATACACACCTGTTACTGAACTTTTTAGTGGCACCTGTCTTTTAATTCTGACACAGCAAGCCAAAATATGTAGATGTTGAACTCACTGTTTAAAAAGCACCTTTATTTCCTGTCAGATTTGACAGGCCCAGGGAATGAGTTAGTTACATGACATTAGCTCTGCCCAAACGAAGATAAATTACTTGACAGGCACCAAAAAACAACTGAATCATGTGTTAGGCTGCTACTGTGACAGAGCCTCGAATCAAAATATTTCCTCCTGACCGACTGCCACCCTTGACAAATTCCAGCCCATTAAAGGAAAACAAGCCTTATTTCCTGCTTTGAATGAGAATCAAATTCAAAACAGGGTTTTTTGTTGTTTTGTTTTTTGCGTTTCTTCCAGACTGAAGGAAAGGCAATATGTAAATCAAACTTTAGCTGCTTCAGGACATGCCCTCCCTTTCCTACAGTTTGAGTGACGCACTGCAAAACGGAGGAAAAAATAAAGAAGAGCCTCTTCTGCGGGGTGTCCTCCACCCTGCAAACTTGGCAAAGACAGACTGTACTGAAATACAGCACTCTCCATATAAGGGAACACGGCTAAACATGTCATGCGTAATTTATGTGCAGTAGGCAGAGAATTAACCTCTCCGTGAACAGATCTGGCCCATCTGAAAGCCAGGCGCGATGGCAGACGAAGGAGAAATAACCAGTTTCTCCCCCAAGAAATCTTCGCGAGTCATAGCGCGCCGGCCGGCCGCCCTCCGCTGCTGCATCCCCTTCACCCAAAGGTCACGAAGTGATAACAGTGTCTAGACACCTGTTTCTTTCTCCCCGGCCCCTCTCCTGCCGGCTCTCGCACGCTTTGTCTCCCGGCCGGCCGCGGGCTGCGAGCCTGCGCCGCCAGACGCGCACCGCCCTGCAGAGCCGCGGCAGGAAGAGCCTGCTCGCCCCACAACTGCAGCTGCGACCTTCTGCTTTCTTCTCTGCCCGAGATGGTGCGAGATATGAAACCAGAACCTGCGGTAACCCAGCCCCTGCCACACACACTGAGAGCCAGTGAAAGCCTAATCTCGCTTCCTCATTCAGCCATCTACATTTTGCAAAGAAAGAAAGAAAAGGGGGGGAGGGGGCAAGGACCGTATGAAAAATATTGTGAAAACGGAAACTTACCTCTCACATTTTTTTTTTCAGAGACAACCAGACTGTGGACAGATTGCCCAAGGCATTGTGGGATTCATTATGACAAGATGACAACGACTGAGAATGGAGCGTGTCAGTCCCTTGTCACAGAGGCATGCTGACAGCCACCGCTCCGTCCCTGCAGTGCGAAGACTGCTGCGCGGGGCCGGGCGGACTCTTATCTCCCCGGCTGGTTTCCGCCGCTGCCTGCGCTGCCCCTCCCCCGCAGCAAACCCCACCAGGAAGCTTTGCTGGGCGGACCTGCGGAGCCGGGAGAGTGCGAAGGGAAAAACAACGCTCGTCGTGCTACTGCAGCATTTTCCCTTGGTGAAACACGAGGTGCAGACCTCCCCCCGCCCAAACAAAATAGATCAAGAGGCTGAGCTGCACTGGGTCGACTTGGAAGGCACAGAGAAATGAAGCGGAAAGAGGAGTCTGAATAAAAATATCCCCTCGCAGCTAGTGGTGGTATATTCCAGTTTACATGTAAAACATTATAACCTCTGAACCGTAGTGTAAATGTGACACGCGCACGCTGCTGTTTCCATGGGCTGTCTGCTTTGATAATGAGCAAATGCAGATTTTAAAAGCTTGTCCAAGGGACAGCCAAGAGCAGACTGCAAGGTTAGTCTGAAGGTTAAACGCACAATATACTCAAGCGCTCAGATTTTACCCCTGCTTACAGTACTGCTGCTTAACATTCCCGGGACACTATGCATCTGATTAGCGAAGCACAGTCTGCACAAGACAATCTTTCTGCTGCAGCCAACACACACTGCCCTGCCCACTGCCACTCTCCATTACCTGGTGCAAGTACAGAAGAATTCCACACAAATACCAGATATACTGCCAGCCTTCCTAATCCTGGCAACAAATTTAAAACTAAACTGAAGTTCATGTGGGTTACCTTTCCCAAGAACATTTCACTGTATTCCTCAAGGCCTCAAAGTCTTCTTATTTAAATAATCATGCTGGACCCAATGATCTCACGAGGTCCCTTCCAGCCCTAAACTTCTGTGGATCTGTGAACTTCATCACACACGGATCTAATTTACCCTGGGCTCTATGATCCAAACCTTTTAATAATTCTGTAGAGAATTGTGCAAGGCCCAAGCCTTGCATAAAGTGACCCAAGGCTTTGCATAAAGTGGCCCAAGCCTCGCAAGAAGTGACCAAATGACAAAAGTGATAAGATTTGTTTTGGCCTGGTGTTTTTAAGAAGGCTAGCAATACCTTTTTCAAGTCCCTTTTGCTCATGAGGGCATTAAATAGTTTTAGTCTGAAAACTTGGATAATACTCTTCATTATAAAAAAGACAAAGTGGGTTTTTCTTACCACTTTTCATGAAGCAGGGAAAATAATCACACCACTCAGTAACAAGGACTCAAGAATGGAGAATGTGAGGGTGTTTTGCTTTGTTTTATATTTGGGGAGTGGGAAGGAGGGTGTCGCTTTGTTTTGTTCACTGTATGAATAAAGAACACTATATGCTTCTTGTTTGCTGGATCTGTTCCTGTAGTGCCTAAAAAGCCCTCATGTGTCACCTGAGAATGGGAAGAACACATGGGTAGAGCGGCTCTGGGCATCTGCATAGGGTGGGATATAAATCTAAAAAAATAAACAAACATAGGTGACATTCAGATAAAGGACAAGCTCACTGGCAATCTGGTGATGATACTTAAGCACTAATTCTACTTGCATGTTTCATTAGGCTGAACCTACATTTCAAAAGGAGTGTGATGGTGCTACTACGCTGGGCTTTGAGTAAAAGGCAAGCTGAGTGAACAGTATAAGCACTGACCTAATATTTTAAATAGTGTTTGAAATAAAGATAATATTTTGTTGAATTAATATCCTCAGAGGCACAGATTTTTGTGAATTAGTATTACCATTTGGTAGGTGATAATACTAAATTAGTATTGTCAATTACTATTGTCAATTGATTATTGTCAATTGACAATTAGTATTGTCACTTGGTGGGTGACAAAACTAAAGGTAAAGAGACTAAAGCCTTGATTTACAAGCAGATTAAGTGACTGATCCCTGTTCTTGTGAAAAACCCAGATGACTTAGTGGGTAATAGGGCTTTCACAAGGATATAGTTTCACCTCAAAAGATCAGGACTTTGGCTATCGTAGAATTAGTTATATATGCCAAGATTTCACAAAGGTATACAGAAGCACCATGGGAGTTTTCCTACAAACTTCAACAGGGTCAGGTTTTTGTGTGTGTGTGTGTATATATATATATACACACACACACAAAATATATATTGTATATATAACAAATGTGTGTAAGATATCTACTCAATTTTCAAACATGGATGACTGCAAAAGAACCCCCTTTGAATGACTGGATTCACATAAAGGAAATGTTTTTATCATTAAATGCATTTATACGCACCCACCATCACAACACATAATATACAACACAGTACTCAGTTGCTCATATTTGCAAGTTCATCATAATTCTTCAACAACAAAAATAACTTCTTCTCTACTACTCACTACATTTATGTCCAAGCAGAAGGCACTGGATCATTCTGAAGTACAAATCCAGAGTCAGTGGATACTGAAGTGTCAATTGGAGCACTGAAATGTGAAACTAATGGCACCTATACATGCGCTCCAGGGAGGGAGCCTTTTGGAGCGGCTTTTGGAGCCACTCTGATTAAAATGCTCACGGTGTCTGGTGTATTCCGCATCCTGAATTTCAAAATGGCGGTGGGGGTGCTTTAACGAGAAAGCTTTAACTAAAGCACCCCACCACCATTTTGAAATATGGGGATGCTGAATAAATGAGACACTGAAGCACTCTGGAGTGTTCTGATTAAAACACTGCAGTAAATTCAATTACCGTATTTTTGCGCATATACCCCACCCACGGGTATAAGCCGCACCCACGTATAACCCGAGGAAAATAGTATTTTTGTAAATAAGTCCATGTATACGCCGCACCTGTGTATTCCACTTGGCAGCGTATACACAGGAAGGCGGCACAGCCCAGCCCGCCCCAGCAGTGGCAACATAGCCCGGCCTGCCTGGGCCCAGCGGGGAGGCTACGCAGCCCGGCCCGCCCTGGCCCCAGCCCCCGCAGCAGCAGCAATGCAGCCCGGCCTTCCTGGGCCCAGCGGGGTGGCAGAGCAGCCTTCCCCGGCCCCCGCGGCAGCAGCGG